TTAATTGCAATTAATTCTCGTTAAAGAGATGTAAATAGGTGCCAGACCATTCAAACTTTTAAAAACAAGTAGCAAAAACTTATACTGAATCCTAAATTGGACTGGGGGCCAGTGAAGAGATGATAAAACTGGTGAGTTACTAGGAATGTTTTTTTGTCCCAGTTAAAAACCTAGCAGCTGCATTTTGAACCAGCTGCAGGCGTGCTATTGATGCCTGCGAAACTCCTGAATACAAAGAGTAACAGTAGTCCAATCTGGACATAATAAAAACATTAATGATGGTTTTCAGCTCTTTAGAAGTCAGAAAAGGCTTCAATTTGGCAATGTTCCTTAATTGATAGAAACCACTTTTGATGACGGAATTGATTTGATTGTCAAACTGTAACTCAGTGTCAAAAGTAACTCCAAGATTTCTTGCGTGACTGTGGACCTTAGACTTGATCGAACCTAATTGATTAATTGTAGATTCACAGACACTCGGTTGGGCCAAACTCTAGTACTTCAGTTTTTGATTCATTCAAGTGTAAAAAATTACCAGCCAGCCATTCTTTAATCTAATTAAAACAGGTAAAAAAGGACTGTAAAACAGAGTTTTCTTTTATGGGCAAGTTAAGCTGAGTATCATCAGCATATGAACCTTGGGGAACACCACACTCCAAACGTGCAAAAGAGGAAGAAAAATTTCCCAATTCAATAGAAAAGGTTCTCCCTAAGAGATAAGAACTTAACCAATTCAAAACATTTTCTTGAATCCCAGCCCACAATCTTGAACGCTTAATCTAGATATTGTGATGTATTGTGTCAAATGCCACAGTCAGGTCTAGTAAAATCAGAAGTGTGCATTTTCAGAACCAACATTCAGAAAAATATCATTAGACATCTTAAGGAGAGCTGTCTCATTGCTAAGGAGTGTCCTAAAACCAGATTGAAATGTATCAGGAATGTCATTTCCAATTAAGTGAGTAGAAAGTTGTTGGATATTGCTTTCCTTGTTCTAATGTTTGTTAAGCATCCTTGAGCACTGGCACTATATAAAAAAGTTTAACTGAGCTGACGATATTTGACCTACAGTATTCTCATAGAAGATGTCTGCTATTACAGTGATAGTGTTGGCTTAGTACTTTCCATTTGCAAATGTCACGTTGATCACAATTCCTATTTTTCATCAACTTTTTTATGGGATTAAACTTGTTTTTAGTAGTTGTTACTTGTTCTCACAGATAGTATCCGAGTTAGAATTACATCATCATCATAATAACTAATTACCAGGGCTACTGTGTTTAAACAGGGTTTCCATGGGGTCTTAAATTCCAAAATCAATATTTTAGGCCTTCAAAAGTTTAAATTCACTGAAATATTGTGTTGTAGATCTTTTTTAAACAAGTCTTCATTTTCCTTTGTTCATGTTTTGCCACCCAATCAGGCCAAAACACATACAATCACCAACAATCCATCTCAATAAAACTTTAAACTTTTTATTCAAAAAGGTCTTTTTAACTCTATTCATCATTAATAGTTTAATTATTTTCCTTACAATAGTTTGTTTAAACATGCTGCATGTATTTACTGCTGAGGACATCAACCTGGACAGATTGTTGTGCATAGATTTAGTTTATTACAGTTTTCAAAACTTTTAAAACATGTTCATTTTTTAAATACTTTTTTTATAAAGAAAGTTATGTTTAGAAAAGTGTATGGATATAAGTAAAGCTTGCTTGTTTTTACACAATATTTAATTTTTTTGCTAAGAAATATCTTAAATATTGACTTTTTTATTATTCATTTATTATTGTATTATTAAATGTATTAAATCATAATGTATTTTTGATAGGGCAAATAAAAATCTTTTCCATCTGGGCCATTTGAAAAATTCCTTAACCTTTAGCCCCTTATTAGTCTAAAATTTTATTTATAATGGTCTTTAAAAACTAAAGTCTAACATTTAACTTGGTGAAACCTGCAGAAACCCTGGTTTAAAGTATGCCAAAAAACATGGATGCCCCCAATTTTAAACATGCTGAATGAAATGGACACTAAAATAATTAAATATAAAACATTGTACAGTATTCTAAACCATATGAGGTTGCTTTGGGATAACGTGAGACAAAAAAAACAAATTATAGTGGAACAATAATGTGTAGCTTTGCACTGACTACAACTGGCCAACAAACCAGTCTAAAAATAGGCTCATTTGATGTGTGCCTCGCCTTGACTGCATTGTAAACGAGAGCAGGCGTCTGCAGTAAGAGAAGGGCTAAAAAATTACATCAGAAGTCGGACACTTGCCGAATCTCCCTGTTTTGCCACCACTGGCTTTTTTATCGCGGACAAATGACCTCATGAAAAAATACTATGGTGATTTATAATGAATATTATAGTGTTTTTGAACTTTTTATTAAGGATTGAGTTATGTTTATTGTTGTTGTGATACCAGAGCAACTATAAAATTTAAATAGGCTATTCTATAATATGGTTCAAAAGCACCACCGTATACATTACCATAGTATTTTATAATGTGGGAGTCCGAGTGGATGCAATTGAAAAATCACTGTTTTAAAAAAAAAGATGGTCAGAATTACAGAAGATGAACAGATCATTAACTAAAAGGGTGTTTAAAAATATAATTCTGTATATTCAACAAATGTTAAAAGAATAACAAACTAAACAGATTATACAACAAGAAAACTTTCAAGAAACCTAATTTGGCTACATTATAAATGAAGTAGCTATAGCAAGATGCTTTTGAGTGACAGGTCATGACAAATGTTTGTTTGACATAAAGAAATTCTTAGGTGGTCAATTTTATTGACATGCTTATTAGGTCCATACAAACTGCTTTTACTCCAGCCAGACTAAAATTAATAGCCCAAGACTTTATCCAGAATAAAAACTATTAAGACTGTAGAAAAAACTGAAAATGTTCTTGGTCTATTAAACATGACTTTTGACTTCACATACATACATACATACATACATACATATATATATATATATATATATATATATATATATATATATATATATATGTGTGTGTGTGTGTGTGTGTGTGTGTGTGTGTGTGTGTGTGTGTGTGTGTGTGTGTCTTGTTTACTACACCCCTTTCACTTCTAATATGAACCCACACAAAGATAAGGCATAATGACAAAGCAGTCTGATTACTTTTGTATGCCTAAATGCATGTATTGGATTGAGTTTCATGGAATAACGCTGCATAAAAATTACAATACAAAAATCACACAAACATACAAAAAGTGAAAATGAAAACAAACAGGACTTTAAACTGAGTGAGAAATAAAACACAGCACACGCACATCCTAGTGATTTATAGGTATCATTTAGTTATATTGGATAGGTCAAGTTATGTATTACAAAGGTGTGTTTTGCTTTTGTTTGCGTGTCAATCTAAATAAATAACCATATGTAATGCTCTTTATGACGTTTTTTTAATTATCATTAAAATTCAATAAAGGTATTCAACAAATCCAGGTATAAACCTTAGTAAAACAAGATAGAGAATAAAGTGTAATGTGTTAGTCTCATCCAATCAGTATTCAGCTGTGTCGTCAGCCAGTTGATTCCCATCATGCTTTTGGTAACGCAGTCTTTGGAGAGCAACTGCTGCCGACTGCATAATCCGAGGTACCTGCCTCACGATCGCAAGAGTTTTTTGGTGCACTTCAGCGTGACATCAGAGTGAGGTGAAGGCAAGTCGGACACATTTCTAATCGGCATGCATCCTGCCATGATCACCGGTGATCGGTTCTGCGCAGATTTTGGCCATCTCAAACGAGCCTAATGACTTTTTCTGCTTAATTATTGGATTACTGCGGAAGGGATGTGATGGTGGGAAAAATAATTGGTGTGAGAAAAAATGAGTAATAGGAAAACATATTTTTAATTTTTTTGCGTTCCCTCGCAAAGATGTTTTGCGCTTTATCGCAAAACTGTTTCTCCACAAACACTTCCTGTTCACTTCATTCATGTCCACACTTCCGTTTCTGCCAAAATTCTCCCATATTTAACCATTCTATCCCACTATCATCCTATCATTAAGTATTTTCCCACATTTCTGATATATTTTTAACCTTGAAGCACGCTGAAAATAATATTAAAATGTCTGCATTCACTTTCTTTACAGTAAAGCTGTACATCGATCGTCGCCTTCCATATGCTACCTCTGAACCAGTGAATGCATGTATAAGCGCTGACTGACAGACACGCTCCGTACAATAAACTGATACCAGATTAGCTTCTGTACACGCCATTAAATGCATTATTATTTGCTGTCATGGCTTTGCAATCAAAACAATTTTCTTATAATTGAGGCCAATGGAGAAAAATCAGCCATGAATATAACGAAAAAGGGAGTAAATTTGCCCAGAGTATACTTAGTTTTCTTTTTTTTCATTTCAAAGCATTTTCCCAGAATATGTCAAAATAAGATGTCCCCAAATATAAATCCGTTTGCTGAAACACAGAAAGATTTGACCAAATTAAGCCTCAAAATCACCCCAGAATAGATGAAAATTACCCAACAGCACACAAGGGGAAAGGTGCACATTCCGGCCTTTATGCAGATTCTGTAAAGGTATGTCTCATGTCTGCGAGGCAAATATTTAGCTGTGACCACAGAACTTTTTTTCTTATGTGTTTACCAGTCACGCACAGAATGAACAAGTATTCCCTGTCTGCTTTACACAGAAAAAAACATTTTCAATGTTTCCAGTGTCTTTTCACTTTTCAGCTTTTGATGTGAGTTTTTAAAACTTAATGAAAACTAATGTTTTTTTTTTTATTTCAGACCTAATTGAAGAGAATGAGGGGAGTAAAGAGGAGGAACACCATGTTAAAATTGAGGAAAAAACTAATTTACAGACTGATGATATTTTGAAAGGGAGAGACCAGAATCGTAACACCTGCACTCAATGTGGAAAGAGTTTGACAAGCAAGAGCAAACTTAAGATTCACATGATGATCCACACTGGAGAGAAACCTTTTACATGCACTCAGTGTGGCAAGAGTTTCAGCCAATCATCAAACCTTAATCAACACATGATGAACCACACTGGAGAGAAACCATTTACTTGCACTCAGTGTGGGAAGAGCTTTGTATGCTCATCACACTTTAATCAACACATGAGGATTCACACTGGAGAGAAACCATTCAAATGCACTCAGTGTGGGAAGAGTTTCAGCATATCGTCATGCCTTAATCAACACATGAGGATCCACACTGGAGAGAAACCACTCACATGCACTCAGTGTGGGAAGAGTTTCAGGCAATCATCATCCCTTTATCAACACATGAGGATCCACACTGGAGAGAAACCATTCACATGCACTCATTGTGGGAAGAGTTTTAACTGCTCATCATACCTCAATAAACACATGAAGGTCCACACTGGAGAGAAACCATTCACATGCACTCAGTGTGGGAAGGGTTTCAGCCATATAACATCCCTTAATCAACACATGAGGATCCACACTGGAGAGAAACCATTCACATGCACTCAGTGTGGGAAGAGTTTCAGCCAATCATCATCCCTCAATCAACACATAAAGATCCACACTGGAGAGAAACCATTTACTTGCACTCAGTGTGGTAATAGTTTTAACTGCTTATCACACCTTAATCAACACATGAGGATCCACACTGGAGAGAGACCATTCACATGCACTCAGTGTGGGAAGAGTTTCAGCCAATCATCATCCCTTAATCTACACATGCTGAGCCACACTGGAGAGAAACCATTTGCTTGCACTCAGTGTGGGAAGAGTTTCAGCTGCTCATCACGCCTTGATCAACACATGAGGATCCACACTGGAGAGAAACCATACACATGCACTCAGTGTGGGAAGAGTTTTAACAGCTCATCAGACCTTAATAAACATATGAGGATCCACACTGGAGAGAAACCATTTACATGCTCTCAGTGTGGGAAGAGTTTCAGCCAATCATCATCCCTTAATCTACACATGATGAGCCACACTGGAGAGAAGTGATTCTTAACGCATAACTAAATACCTGGATTTAGTGGGTATTTCCCTTTGTCCTTTAGTGTCCTTCCTTGATACGTGGAACTTGCGATGCAGATCGGAGGATACGCAAGGCACAAACTTTAAACTGAGTTTACTTTGCTGGAAAAATAAGAAAACGGGACTCAAGCGAGGCACGCAGGTACAGAAATGCGGTCTGCCCACTCGAGGGGCACCTCTAGAGACCTTCTTTCAGAGATCTTTCTGCCCTGATCTGTGTGTGCAGATGGATTTTATCTGTCGCGGCAAGTCACATTTTCTTTTTCTGACTGACCAATGGTTTCATGGCAAAGTTGAGCGGGAGATTTTCTTTGTCTCTCGACTGCTAATATGCATAATAAGGGTCTGCCCGAAAACATACAAAGAGACATTAACTCAAGAGTATTAAAGGATGGAAGCCTTATAAATTATGATCATGCCTCCTGGATGATGTACGCTACAGAATGATAACAGACATGACACTTTTAGAAGTACATAAACATGATTCAGGCAATCTTAGCTTGTCTAGTGTCTTGAAAAGGGGATATCGAGAGAGAGATATATGTAAGAAAAGTCAAAAATGAAGTACAAAGTTTACAAACACATAACAATTACTTTGACTATGAAATTTAGAATTTCTGAGTCCATTTCAGTGTCTGAGCCTTGTCTGGGTGTCCCAGGAGGGAGGGGTAATGGAATGCCTTTGAAGACAGAACAGAAATGGTGAAAAGGGGGTTTTCTCTCCTTTTTCTTATCTGTCATGTTACTTTGAAGTCCAACAAGAGCGAGCCGAAACAATCTGCTAAATGTCCCGTTAAAATAAAGATGTCACCCAGGGATTTTCACTGCAGTCTCCCTGGCACCGGGGGATCGTAACTGTCCTATAGACTGAACCCACATAGACAAATGAGGTCACACATGAAATTTTACCTTCGGACTGTAGGTTACAACTTGAAGACCCACACTGGAGAGAAACCATTTACATGCACTCTGTGTGGGAAGAGTTTTAACCAATCAGCACACCTTAATGAGCACATGAAGATTCACACTGGTGTAAAAGAGTATATGTGCTTTGAGTGTGAGAAGACTTTTTATTACAGCTCCAAAATTGAAAGTGCACCAGACAATTCACACTGGAGAGACCATACAAGTGTTCACACTGTGACAAGAGGTTTAATCCGTTAACACATCTGAAAACAAAAAAAGGATTTACATTGAAGCGAAACCATGCAGATCTGATCAGTGTCTACAGAGTTTCGCTCATTTGGCGCACCTTAAGAAACATGGGACAAAAAGTTGCACACATGACTTGAATGCTGCAAAACTTTTTCTCATGTGCACAGGATGTTTCATGTCTGAATAATGTTTGAAAAGGCTGAGTGACGGTATACTGTTTTCCAACACTCCCACACTGCAGTAGGTGGGGTTGTAAATGTGTTGCGCTCCTTGCGTTTACCGTAAACACAATGATGAGAGACTCTCAATGACTGAGAGAACAGTTTCATAAACATCTGGCAAACGCGGCTCTGAGGCTTAAAATCTCTTTGCAAGTGATTGTACAGGTGCGGATACATCTTTACTCCACTCTTCAGTGTGTTCATGTAGCTAGGGTTGTTTTGGATGATGTTCTCTGTCTGACTCCCTGAATGAGAAACCAGTCACCAGGAATACACGTTTCTTTTACAAACCGAAAAGTACTGCGTAAGTACAGTGAAATACCAGTGTACTTTTCTGTACGTATTGTATAAATATTGTATGTGTAGGTATAAAGAAACAAACTGTAATGGGTAATAAGGGGGTAACAACCAGATATTCAACACGAAAAGTAGCGCGTAAATACAGTGAAATAACGGTGTACTTTTCTTTAAATTGCAAAGGAACAAACCATAATGTTTGTGTAATAAGGGGGTAACAATAAGATATTCAACACGCAAAGAACCATGTGAGTATATTGAGTTTACAATGTACTTTTCTTAAAGTATTGTATACATATAAAGAATTATGCAAGGGTGGTGACAACCTTATGCAACCTGCAAATGTACTGTACATGCACCTGCGTAAGTACATTACTCTTATTCAGTGCTTGGGTTTTATATGGGGTGTTTAATAAATAAAAGTTTTACAACCTGTGAAATTATGAACCCTTATTGTATACTGTATGTATTTAAAATCTGCAATTCAGTATAAAAACATATTTCCATACACTACTTACCTTATGAATGTTCACTCGTCGATCTTACCACTGCTAGCAATGTCTCAACATCACTATCAACAAATAACTTTGCATGATATAGGCCTATCGTCAGGGTTCAATGGAGATTAAAACAGGCTCGCATCTTTGCTGCCGTTTGCAGAGGGGGGGGCTAACTGTTGCATTTCAGTAAATGTATAGCTGATTCTTTATAGAACAATGTAGTAATTTGGTCTTCAATAAAAAAATGCTGCTGTAGTTTTCTCTGTTCTTAGTGTTCAAGTATACACTAGTGTGTTGAAGTTCAGCTTCTTCCCTCCTTGTTCCCTGTACCTAAAGGGTAAATACCACATTTGAGTGTTGTAAATTAAAGTGAAGCACTGTTCCTCCCTTGTTCCCTGTAGCTAAAGGGTAAATACCACATTATAATGTTATATGTGGGAAAAAAAATATATGTTTTTAATAAATAAACTGGGATGTAATTAGATAATTTTGCTAGTTTACAGTACATGCTTTATCAACAAATCGTCTTTATTTGTTTACTTTTTACTTACCGAGTGGAAAACTGCAGTGAACCTTGGGATCGCAATGAACCTTGGGATCGTGACCATAGACTGCAAAAAATAGATTGCGACATACAATGACCCCAACTTCAATGAATAATTTAATAATAAAAAGATCAGCTAAAAATATTTTTAAATTTAATACTTGAATTGTAATATTTTTTTAAGTTGAAAATTAATAAGTAAAATGAATGAATCAAAGTTTTATTGGGCATAATTACCCTAAACTGAGCAATCGAATATAATTGCACTCATTAAATATAAAGTAAATTATAACATATTTATCAACACCAACTGATCTCCAATAATAATACATTATGCAGCGTTTACCTACCACTTAAGTTAATGTTGACAGTTGAACTCATCTGTGAACTCAACGCTGATGCAGTTTGACCAATAGCAGAGCGGTGTTAAACTCACTGTTGAATGGAAGTCACGTGGACCGAAGTTTATTCTTACAGTTGTTTTGACCCAGTTTACAGACGCTTTGGTAACCTTTTACAATAAGATTCATTAGTTATTGCTAACATGAACTAATCATAAACAAGACATATACAGCATTTATTAATCATAATTGAACATTTACTAATGCATTATTAACATCCAAGTCCATGCTTGTTAACATTAGTTAATGCACCATGAGTCAACCTGAACTAACAATGAACTACTGTATTTTTATTAACTAATATTAACTAACATGAACAAATACTGTAGTAAATGTATTGTTCATTGTTTGTTCCCGTTAGTAAATGCATTAATTAACATTAACTAATGAACCTTATGGTACAGTGTGACCGACGCTTTTCATGAACAAAACAAAAATTACACATTTTTAAAATAAGAAAACTGCAATAATAGGCGTAAATCAGGTTTTAAAAATTTCGTTGACATCTATCGGTAATTATACGAGGCTTGGAGCATCTCGATTTTACGCTTAGGTTGAGGTACAGATTCTTTAGGGAATCCCTGCACGTCTAAATATGACGCTGAAGGGGTACCCTGTGCATCACAAACTAGGGTTCCTGACCAAGCGTCAGTACATGACGGGTTGGGAGTGAAAATGTGTTGAATCGAGTACCAAGAACACTTTATGGCGTTGAACCATAGTGGCTGTTTTTTTGCCGCTGTATTCTTCAGTATATCTTTATTTGCATTCAGCAGAAGAAACTCAAACAGGTTTGAATAAAGTGGAGGATTAGTAAATGATAGAATTGTAATTTTTATGTAAACCCCTTTACCCCTTTACTGCTTCTGTAAGTAAAGGTAAAGTTAATTATTACTGAAGATATTGCTAAAGAATGGCAAGAAACGAAGAATACAGATAATAAGAGACGACAATTCATATGAAACGGGTGCCATTTCCAGATTGCAATTTTCAAAATTCTCATCAAGTACAAACTTAAAAAAAAAAAAAAACTACAACGTGAAAGATATCTTAACCCTCCAAAACAGCTAGTTTTCCACCTCAGGCTCAAAATCCTGCTTTTCTTTAGGCAAGAGAGCCTCTCCTGTACCACACTGTTACGGACAATATGTATTACAGTAGTAAAGTAACAAATTGCTTTTTAAATTTAAATGTTTTTCAAATAATAAAATGTGCTCTTTTATCCAGATATCAATAGAAAGTCTGTAGTTTAATATTTTTTTATTATTACATTTTTAACTTTGAAAAATAAATTTGACATCTCAATTGCCTCATTGTTTTCACTGAAAAAACAAACTCACTTAAAATAATTCAAATCAACTAAAAATTAAATCCACACAGCAAAAACATTATTCAACATTCACTTATGTAACTTTTCATTTTCTTTCCACAAACCTTTAGGAAAATTACAGTGTGGCATTTGCTGTGATGGGGTTGTTCACTGTGACAGGGTGGTAAGAACAATATGTTTTAAAAGTAATTTAACCCGTGGAAACCTTTAAACAGGTTTATTATTGAAGTTAAAAATATATCGTTTTTAGGTAAGATGGACCACCTTGGCTGGATCAGTTGGCATTTCTGTGTGGAGTTTGCATGTTCTCCCCGTGTTGGTGTGGGTTTTCTCCGGTTTCCCCTACAAGTCCAAACACATGTAATATAGGTGAATTGGGTAAGCTAAATTGTCTTTTGTGTGTATGTGTGAATGAGTATGAGTGTTTCCCATGATGGAAG